TATATGCATTTTCATCAGTATGTTTGTCTTGCAGACAAAATGAATATCAGATGGTGGTTTTGAAAAAGGGCAGACCTAACATGAGGTGATTAGTTTCAAAAACAGATTTTTATTCTTGATAAATTATTACCAAATACAATCATCTGTTGATTGAGGATATAAAACAGATTGGTCATACTATAACCCACAGGTTAAATGAAAAACGGAAATAATAAGTTTATTTAACATGGTCTTGCATTAGGTTCCCAGCAGTGCAAATCTAAGGCAAATAATTAGATTTCCAATTTAAAGATATACGTTTGTTAAGCCAGACGTTTCCTGAGGTCATCTATTTCTCTGTTGGCTAGTCTCCCTGTGCTGGCAATGTATTTAGGACATTTTCACTCAGAACTTTATATTACTACACCTTGTGCATTACTGTAATCAAGCCAGCATTGTAGTTTAATTCAGGGTAATACAGAGAGGGCAAAGGGCTGGTTGTGATGACTCCTGGCTGCAAATCATATCTTGAGAAACAGTGTCATATAGATGTGAAGAAAACTAATGACTTAAAAAAAAAAAGTCTGGGGGGTGGGGGGTGGACAAGGTACTTAGAGACAACTGGTGAACTAAACAAAAACAACAAAAATTTTATGCCAAGTATATGGAACAATAATACAGCACACTATACTTCTTAAATATCCACACTTCTTTTTCTCAAGGTGGCCACTTAATTTTATGGTGGAAGATAAAAAGTTAGGAGACAAGTGCTCTGTTCCATAGTATACCCCATTTTTACAGAGCACACTCTCTCCCTCCTCTTCCCCTCCTCAGTTTCTTCAGTAATTTACAGCTCTGCTATGTAATATCTCTCCAGGGAGCAAAGAATCCCATTACAGATGATTCCTCTGTGCAGACTTCAGCTCTGTAAATCAACAGGCTGAGCTCTCTAACAGATTTTAAATCCCTGCATGAGCTAGGCTGGGACAACTTGCAAATTGGTGGGGTCAGAAGTAGGGGGGAGGAAGGAGAGTTCAGTACTACAGTAAGTTCCAGGAAAAGAGCGTCTAACACAACTCGTGTTTTTGTTAACTTTCCCCAATAATCATTGTGCCTCGGTATACAGCATGGAAGGTTCAGAAATAGCAGAATTGAAAAAATACACACAAAAGAGTCTCCTCCCAGGAGAACATTCCCAAGGGATTCTAACAGGCACAACAGATTGTAACCGAAATATAAAGTGAGGTGGACTAATGCTTCCTTGGAGATAAAACTGTAAATGAACTACAGCACCTTGAAAAAATGGAGTGAAGTGCAGAACAAAGGTGCATGGGGCATTATTTCTAAAATAAACTTCTGAGAATTAGATGCCTCATGGGGAGTGTTTTTTTCCTTACAAGGCTTCACATGCCTTTTTACTCAAAAAAGGAAAAGTTCTCTGTAAATTTGAAATAAATTACACTATTTTTTGTCACATTCAAAATAATGTTAAAAATTACAAGTAGGATGCAGAGCATAATTATATAAAAACTTGTTTCATAATAAGAATAATTTTATACACTGATCACATTAGGATATTGATTTTCATATTCCCATTATTAAAAAATCCAACATAATGTGGGTTTCAATATAACTCATAAGAATACAACACTATACTTAAGTTGCTCCAGTTGCTGAAGAAATAGGATAACAGTGAGAAGAACAGAAAAAAGGAAGGCAACTAGTTTAGGAAGTTTAGTTTAGTTTAGGAAGGCAATTTGGTTTAGGCAACTAAACCAAATGGTTTCTGAGGGTCAAGTCTGTATAAGATTCGGTCAGTTAAATTTAATAGACTATTTTTTTATTGTTATCACTCTCAACTTCTTAGCAAAATTTGCCCCAATTGGTCCAAAACCTATACTTCATTGTCTTCCTTTTTCCCATAAATTATTTTTTCCTTTTGTCCATTTCTGTAACTGGCATTCCAACTCCTTCATATACCTTATTCAGTTGTTATCTACTCTTGTTCATCCTTCCCTTTAGTTCTCTCATATATTTAATTTTTTCATTTCTACTACCATCATCCTAGTGTGAAGTCTCATCATTTTCACCCTAGATTATAGCTATTTCATTTTTGCTTTGGGTTTTTCCCAGCTCTTCCCCATATGCACCCCTTTCTGATTAATCCTCCTAAAACTATTACTCCAATAGTGAGCTAATGAAGTCTGGAATCTAAGATACTTGCCTTTACTCAGTTCTGTGATCTCAGGAAACAACCTTTGACTATGCTCAAGTATTCTGAAACTTACATCATTGTCTGTAAAGCAATGACAGAACAAAAAATCACTTCTGCTACACAATGTACACAGTGTTTTGAATTGCTAGTTAACATTTCCCTCCTATTATAAAAATACTATCACACAATTATTAAACAAAAGGATGTTTTAGAAGTCAATCTAATGGAACCCTTGATGCAGACATGATTACCAATTTTGGGTAATTTCTTAGTGGTTCCATTGTCTTCTCCAGGCCACCATATCAACCCTCAAACTCTGCCACTGTTCGCAGACCAAACACACCTCCAGATTAGTTTTGCTTCTCTGGTGAAATATGGAGTGACATTCTATAACAATCTTTGTTGCAGTTGGTTTTCTGGAAGGGATCTCACTGTCAGTCTTTATTCCACACATTCAAAAAGTCAACATTTTCCCGAGCATATATTATGTTGGGGCTCCTTCATGCTGCCAGAAAACTTCAGATTGAACTTTTAAATGAAAGAAAAAGCCTTAGGGCACAACTGAGCACCCATTTAGTTTTTAAGAATGGTGTGTTTGTTTTAAATTGGTGCTCTATCGCTAAAGTTCAAGAGGGACCTTCTTAAAAAAAAAGTCAGTGTTTAAAATATCCAATTTCCTTGCACCTTTGGTCAAGAGTTCATAGCTACTTCCTCTGTTAGAAAGAGCACCAACTTACCTTAGCAATGGCAAAGAGATTTAAAGTCATTGGATTCCCTTTTCTCCATGTACGATTCAGTAGAAACTTAAATTTTCTTCTAAAACTATGTTGGTCTTTGTATCTAAGAGCTTCAAATTCCCTCCTTACCCACAATTCACAATCTCAAATGTAAATGATGAATGCTTAACTCCAAAAATTCCTTCCCTAATACTCTTTACTCCTGCTTACACTGATTTCAAACAATTGACTTCTGATATACTTCTCTTGTGTGCACTTCTCACACACCACCCTGCCCTGCCCCCCACTTACCACAGTAGATTACTGTGGTTGAATAAATTTGTTTCCTCCCTGTCCACTTAGTCTGTGAATTCCCGAGAGACAAGGGAGCATGATTTATTCATCTCTGAATTTCAAATTGCTCTCTAGTACTTAACAGGTGCTAGGTGTTCCATAAATTGATTTGCCAAATTGGATTGGACTGACAAATTGTGATTCAGGCCATGTTAATTGCTGGCTAAGGCCAAGCTTCCATAAACAGAGGACAGCAGTGAAATGAAGTAATTATCCAGGTCACTGAGGACAAAAAATGTGCTAATTTGGACAAAGTGAGTAAGCAAAATTTTGTCTTACTGAACTAATTCATCATTTTATTGCAATGCTTGCCTTTGATAATGGAAATCTGACCTCTGTAAGGCACTGTATTCTGTCCTGTGCTGCATTCTATAACTGAGTCATCCATTTTGTATTGATGGCTGCACATACCCTATACCTCTTACAATGCTCAGGAAAAATATTACACCCTAATCCTTATCAACTGTCTGCTGGTAGTGCCATTGGTTCCAAATAGGCAGTGCACTGATGACTCTGAAACCCATGACTAAATCCACATTTGAAAGAACACACACCACTATAGGGAGTCACTGGCATTTTCTTCATACAACAAAGTCGCAGGTTTCACAACTAAGTTCAACTTTTAGCACAAGGTTTTGCTAAATGAAGTCTGTATGACCTTCTAGAAAAAAAGCAAGTTGGGTTTCTCAATGTGTTTGTCCTTTGGGATGAAGACAAATTCTTATTGAATTTAAAGATTATCAAAGGAAGAAAATAATGTTGCTTTTTAAGTGGACCAACAACTTTATTGTTTATTATATACGTGTTTGTTGATATTGTTCCTATTCTGGTTCATCTGTACTTGGTCTAACTAAGTAGGAAAAGCAGTTATTTAAACACCTAAGCCACAGATTAAATTTGAAATACTTGACTTTTAATCATACTTCACTGTAGCTCTATAATTAATTTCAGAAATGGGAGAAAATTTTTTATTGTTTCATGAAAAAACACAATATTTAGCTTTTTAAATTTATAAGTTGTGAATAACAAAAAATTATATTGACTAGCACAACTATATTTAAAATTAACAGTCAAATATCTATATAGGGTCTTTTATTCTTTAAAGGCTTAAAAGGGGGTGAATTTTTTAAAATATAGTATTAGATAAACAAAATGTTCAATGAAAACTTATGATCAGACAGAGTTAAAACTTCACAGTTTTAACAGGAGAAAGAAGAAGAAAAGAATCTGGATATAAGCACAATCCTAGTCTGAGTCTTAGTTTCACCATTCATGAACTGTGGGGCATTGAGCAAGCCATTAACCCTTCCAAATCTCACTTTGCTCATTTCTAGAATAGAAATCATAATTATACCTTTATCTGATTCCTGAGTTTTTAAGAGAAGAACATGAGGTAACATAAATGGACATAGTTTTGAAACTCTGGAGTACTATACAATGTAAAGACATTGTGATTATTGTCTTGGCCTATGGATGCTGATGGTGAGGATGGTAGTTATGGTCTAATGTTTGCCATCAGAGGCATTGCTTCTGCTCTGCCATTAGTAAATGCAGTTAACATAGCTGCAAATTAATGTTTTCTCTCAGATTCAGCCACCTGCAAGACTGAAATGTCTGTTTCCACCCCAAGTGAACAATTTATATTAGTTTATCATGAAAAATATAAAGATATACATATACCACACAGCTGTGCCAAGAAAAAGACTACAGTTCACATTCCTTAAAATTAAAGAGACCTTCTCTCTATGGACTTCCTCCTCATTCTTGTAGGACAAACTTGTTATCAAACATTAGTCATGTTTTATTAAATTGACTGTGAAGAAGGTGAACTTCAGACATAGAGATTTTTTTCAGCCACAGACATCCTTGATTTGCTTGTTGCAGATGCAATTTCAGCATCTCTTATTAATACATCTTTTAAAAAATAAGAAAGAAATAAAAGGAAATAAAGAGATTAGTACGTAAACTCAGATCGGTATGGATAAAATGAGATGACAATACCAGAATCCATAGCAGAGGGAAAAAATTCTAGACAATGCTCTCAATTATGTACAATTTAATTTTAGTGTCAGGAGATAACCCAGATATACTCCCATAAATCCACTATATTTTAGGTACAGAAAAGCACCTAGATGATCCTAGTTTTCTTCCCAAAGACTAGACATCCTAAATAAAGACATGATCTTCACCTGGGTCTCTCTCTGTGGACTGCTGCATAGAAAATGCTGCTTTAGTGTTAAATCTTAGCTCTCTGTGCTGATACTGTTACATCTTAGGAAAAACTTTGGTTCTATTCATATCATTAACTCTCAATTATTTCCTATAATACTCTTTCTCCAGCATTATTGTGAATTGACTAGAAAAAGACAGATATCACTATAGTTCTTGGAATCTTATAAAAATAATTACTCTTCAGTAAAGGCATTTATTTCACATTTGAAGAAGCTATGAGATTAGATTATCCAAACCAGTACCAAAGTATAACTGTTTTCTTGAGGTACTGTGGAATCATGTGAAAGAATTAAAAAGGATCCCATACTCAAGTTTCGGAAACAGTGGATTAAACTAGGTAAAATGTTTCTCTTCTGCTGGATTTATAACACATTACCATGTATTTGACACTCTAAAAAACTGTTTATAAGATTTACTTGACTATGAAATTCCTCTTCACATGGAAATCTGTAAAAAACCTGGAAGAGATGTGGTGAAGAAATGCCAGTATATGATATGGCAGAAATATGTGAGTTTGTTACGAATTTCTAACAGTTGTGCATCATTTATTGAGTAGGATATGTTCTGAAAACTGAGTCATTAGGTGATTTCATCATTCAGTGAACATTATGGAATCTAGTTGCACAAAGTAACACAGCTACAAGATCACAAGGCAATATGATCTCATGAACTGCTTTTAGAAATGTTGTTTTATGTGATACACGACTATAGTTGTCCTTGTATATTTTTTCCACTTATGCTAATCTATTTATTTAAGGAGTACATACAGTTGCTTTGAGGAAAGAGAAAAACAGATTTTATTTGTGCCAATAATTCTAAGAATATTTTCTCCAAGTGACAGCAATCTTACGAAATGGTTTAAGTTGCCTTTACCACAAAGTCCAAATATTGTTTCATTTTATTTTCATCAAAGGAAGACATGACAGCATATTTATGGAATTACAAGAGTCACATAATAAACCACAGAATATTGGTGCACCCATTTCTACCTATTCTAGGGGGGACTAGACTCAGATTTTAAATGAGGACACATTGTAACAGGTAAGATAAATTTAGAAGTAATGACTTGGTAGCTAATACATCTGTATCCACCTCCCAGTAACTCCTGTTTCGATTCAGTTTTTTATCTCTGAGTCTCTAACATTCATTTCCCCAGTGTCCAAGTTGGTTGAGCAATAATACAGCTGATGACAACTGTTAAATGACTGTTTCTGCTTCTATAGTAACTCAAATCAGGCATCAGTCCCAAAAGACTATTCTTAGAATCCTGATGATGAGTTTTGCTGGGTTTTTTGCTTTTTGTTTGTTTGTTTGTTGTTTGTAAAGGCAGTGGGAAGAACCCAGATTTTATTTCTGTGCAGGGAGGCTCCTCTTCTCTGAGCTTCAGGGGAACCTCCCACAATACTACAGTAGCTCTGGAGCGTGCTCAGCGGCTGTGGCAGCTCAACCATGCAATTTTATAGCAGGCAGCAAACAAGGCAGAGAATTCAGGGTTAAAAACTCAAGTGAAGTTTTGTCTTCTACAGTAATGAAAGCTGACTAAAAGAGTAAATCAAATGGATCTCCTAACAAAATGAAAACAGCTGTTTGGCCTGGCTTGGTCTCTGATTTAGGTTAAGTAATTATTGCTCTAGTGTGGCTCAAGGTTGTTCTGTATTAGTGAAATAAGATATCACATGAAAATCATCCAACTTTTTAATTTACTGTAGCATCAGAAATTCCACTGTATAAAAAATTCCAGAAACGTAATCTTCTAAAAACTTTACCTATAAACCTTTTCAAATACCAATTGATTAAATCTTCCAAGACATAATTACACAATTCATAATTACATTATAGTAATAATCTTTAGTATCTATCCTGAGAAAATATTTTAATATTTTAACTTTAAAATACTAAGTTTTTCAAGTTTTATTGAAGTGATGTATCACAATTCTCCCAAACTGTAAAGATAAGTCCTTTTGTATAAAGATGTTTTTATGAAGAGCAACAAATAAATAGGTACTTCTTGAGCCTCTCCCCCCAAAGAAGTCTATTTTAAAAGCATAATTTTTAAAATTAAACTTCTGCATATCAGTAATAGCTAAGAAGAAAAACAGAGCAAAAAAAAAAGCAAAAGATTATTATTGAGAAATAGATTTCTGTGTTTAACATTATTTAGAATAAAATAAATTGCTCAAGTTATTTCAAATTCTATTTCCTATTTGTAGCCATTTGTACTTCCTTCTCCTATCACCATGATTTATGCCATTTCTCTTTTTATTTAAACGCTTTGTTTGTTTCAGCTTGCCTATGATAACAAAGGACAAATCAAAGGTAGGTTAGCGATGGATTTATAAAAATGATACTCCAGGAATCATTTTTAAATAATAAAAATCCTAAATATAGTATCTGATGCAGGACATTAAATTCCCGAAGGAAACAAAAACTAAATGTCTTGGCCTCTTTCTGTGGCTGGTAATTTTTAAGTCAACCTCTGGTACATCATTGGATGAATGCTTTAATGTATAAATAAACAACAACATTAAATGATTTTGTAACACTAACAAATTCTCAAATTATAGAACAATAATCTTCAATGGTGACATCTTTAGAGTGTTTTAATTCATTTGGGTCTATTCAACTCAGTTCCCAATGAGAAAGAGAGAAGATTGCATCAGAAAATTAACATTTTGAGGTGGTTTAAAGTCCAGGGGGAAAGTCTCAGATGTTCTTCTTATAGTTATTATTGCTGGTCACACAGTGTGACATATTTACCTTTCCAGGGGGATATGGTTTTGTAGCTTTCCTAAATCTAAATAGTATTTCTCACTAGTCCTTGCCAGTTATTCCATCTAGTGCTTGCCAACATATCGGAATAACAAAAACAACAGACTTACATGTTTTATATCTCCAAAACATTAATGTATTACAATCTTTCTTTGGGGCCAATATTTCTTAAATAGGAGAATATATCATGATTGGGGTTTCCATTCATAAACTGTCCTGGGGAACTAGATCAACAGTGTATAGTTTATTTAAAGATTAGAGAGGAACTCAATGAAAAGCAATAGTTAAAAGAAAGGTTTAATTTTTTTCCTTTCAAACAGTTAACAAAAGTCTAATAACCAAGATTCTTAAAAATGATAGGGCACATGAAGCCAATCTACATTCTTAGATGTCTGCTGACTGGTAAGACAGGAATGGTTCTAATACTCTGCATAGTCAGTATTTTCCTTTCAAGAAACACAAAGCCTGCAGTAAGTTGTTACTCAAAAGTCTTTGTGAATAATAGGCAAATGTCTAACTCATACTTACATAGAAATTTGGACAAAATCAGAGACACTTAAACAGAGCATCTTTAATTACTGAGTCAAAATATTGGACAGTCAAACTATTCCATTCTCTGTAGACATGTCTCCACCAGAAGTGTAGAAGGAATACAGATAGATTTCCTATGCTGAAATGAAAATCCCTCCCTGAAAATTGCTTACTTTAGTCTGAAATGCTTCTTTGGAGTCTTTGATTTCTCTCTAGCTCACTTATTTCTGTTATTCCTCCACTTGGGAACTCACTCCTTGAATAATTATTTAGTTGTCACAACTTTATGAGTCCCATCTTGAGAATAAATATTTTCCAAATCCACACTGAAAATGCCTTGTTTCATATATGTATACTTTCTATTTTTCTGGACTTGTCCCATAAAATATTGTATATGCTAGTATCCTTATCTCTTCTTGATGGAATACCAGAGATAAGACTGGTAGCATCTAAGAAAACATCAACAATTCATTATTTGTTTAGGAGATTATGTTTTTGATCTTGTGCTCAGCTTCAGAAAGGAGACTCAAGGTGACTGCTGTGACAGAGGACTTCCTGTCATTAGGTTGAACATAGGTCAAGGTCATGGATTTTCTGAAGTTGGTTTTAAGTCTCAAAATTTTAGCACTTCTTTTCACATGAGATGGTCCAAAGTGGTCAGAATCAACCCTCCAACATTCAGCATGGATGCCTGAGTTTGGGAATCCCTTCCAACTTGGTTTTGAAGAATTCATTCAATCAGGGAGCTCTCTGGCAGAAGGCACAATCCAGCCAAAAGGGCACTTTCTACTTCATTTCCTCAATCATTCACTTTTATCCTGAGAAGGCAAGAGATGGCAATTTCTAAACATTGGCATCTCCATTGTGTTTTCCCAAGACCCTAACATAGGGCTACTTTCCAACAACTCCAAGCTTTTTAAGGCAGCAAGCCTTTCTGTACATGCTTGTTAAGGAATGGCATGACACTCTGTATGGAGACAAGAGGACAAGATGAGGATAGATAGATGGAATACACACACTATTCTGAGGAATATTTGTTCTTGGAGTTGAACAGTGTTTATTACAATCACACAGTTTACACCCTTGCAGTCAACCATTTCAAAGCATATTTTCCGAACATTTTTTCCTTTCCCCTTATTCCTCTTGTAAGAAAACATACTCTTTAGCACAAAGTAACCAAATAACTTCTTAGTACAAATTATTTTGTTAAATATTATTTTCATGCCAGGTTTTAAAGTTTTAGAATATAAGATGGATACAGAGTATAAAATACTGTTAATCATATCAATTCTATAAAACTTGAATAGAAGACCTGACAAGGCTCTTTAGGCAAGTGTTCTACAATAACTTACAGTTGATTTTCTATCACAGGTACTGCTATA